GTAGGGCACTGGCCCCATATGCCCTGGCCAAAAACTGCAAAAGCAAACAAACAAAAACACACAATAGAATAAATAAAATAAAAAACAAATGGAAACAAAGTGTATATAGAGATATATAAAATTATGACAAGATATTGACAATTAACTTACTTATATATTCATTACATTATTCTCTCAGCTCTTCTGTATGTTTGACAATTTAAAGCAGTTGGGGAGAAAAATACGGGCCGTATGCAGCTCAACGAAATAGCATTTTGTGGAGTATCAACCCTTAGGTTAACCCAGGGGACATGAGAAAGACATCCTCTAAACTTATTTTTCTCCATCGTTCAGGTCTCTACTCCTCTCTGCCTCCTGTCATTTTAGTCTCTTTCTCTTTTATTCCATCTCTTCCTCACTACGTCACTCCCCTAGCCTCTCTCATGTCTACTTTTCACCCGCAACAGTAACAATAGAACCACAGGATAGTTTAGTACTTTTTATGCTTATTAAAGTTTTAGCGTCTAACGTTTTAGATTAACTTTTTAAGAGCTGAATAGCTTAATTTGTGTTAGAAAGTAAAAGCTAAATTAGGCTGCAAACCAAAAAGACAACAGAAGTACCAAATATCAATTAACTATTGCTTACTCGTAATATGTATTAGATAGAGCACAGTGTTAGATATGAATGGATTACATGCAATCTCAAAAGTACTTGAAATTTTGTTGTATCGTTGTTCTAAATTTTAGGAAAGAGTTGAGGAAAAATAATTCATAGCTGGGTTTCAGAAATTTTTTTCTATAAAGGGCCAGATAGTAAATTAATATTTGCCTGTATCACATTTTCTTACTTTTTCTTCTTCATTTTTTTTGAAAAAAAAAAAAAACCTTTAAAAATGCAAAAACCATTCTTAGCTCAGGAGGTGGCCATACAAAACAGGCTGCAGGCTGGTCTGGGCTGGGTTGTAGTTTGCTGACTACTTGATGTATAGCACACTGGTTATGGGAGCTATTGCAATAATGCACACTGTCTATCTAATGTTGCAGTGTGACTAAAAATAACTTTAAGTTGGTGTTCATAATGCTTACCACGATACTATTATTACATATACTAGAAAGGACATAAAGTAACACCCGCCAATGACATTTCTTTACCATTGCCAACTTCCTTGGGTCATAACGGGAAGGATCTTGAGGCTTCTAGTAGGATGTTCTCTATTTCAAAAAAAATGTTATTCTACCTGGGATATTCTCATGATCTATTCAGTTCAATAGTCATCCAAACTAGGTGCAAAGGGATTAATAAAAAAATTGCCCCCTAAATACAGGGCAACAAAACTATAGTAAATATAGACAAAAGACTGTGGTAGCCTTATTTGAGGCATCTTACTTTCATATAATCCCATTGAACTAAATTTATGCTCTTGTCTCATTTTTATCTCTAGTTCTTTCATGCTCTCTTTATCCTCACCTTCTCCTCCCTAAATATTTTATGCAAGGAAGGACCTGGATAAAATTTGTATATTCCATTCAGAAGAACAGAGATAGAATATATCCAACATATAATTCTCTCATGAAATAAATTTTACACAAGAAGGGAAGATGAATGGGAGCAAGGATGACGCAGCAAACTAGTTTCTCAGCTCAGTACCTTTGCATCAATGAAGCTGTTTGGCATCATCATTGGCATTAAGGATTCTTCATTTTCTGCAGCTCTTTCCACGTTCTTTCCTACCTCATTTCCACTAGCTAAAGAGGCAATGGTACGGGATGACGGTTGGGTCCCATTCTGCGCTGTCTTGGATGCAGATGATTTCCTGAAATATTGGCAAGAAGAGGAAATCTAATTTCAGATAAGATACAGGCGAATGTACCAAATGTAGCCTGTAATCACAACTCTGCAAACAATGAAGTTCCTTAATACTCATTTCTCAAGCATTTTTAGAAACTGTATTTTTAACTCCCACTCATTGCTACAAACTTTTATGATTTGAAAAAGCATCTTAGTGGAATGTCACAGTCTTAAATGCTTACATCAAAAAGGCAGAAAGATCATAAATCAGCAACCTCACGTCACACCTCAAGGAACTAAAAAAAGAACAAACCAAAGCCAAAGCTAGCAGAAGAAACGGGGAGGCTCAGACCAGAATGAAACGAAACGGGAAACCAAAGAGAACAGTACAAAGGATCAGGGAGCCAAAAAATCTGTTCTTTGAAAAGACAAACAAAATTGACAGACCCCTAGTTAAACTAGAAAGAGCAGAGAAAGAACTAAAGCAAGCTCAATCAGAGATGAGAAAAGGGGACGTAACAACTGATACCACAGAAATACACAGGATCCTATATGACTAATAGGAACCCCTCTACCCATGCAAACTAGAAAACCTACAGGAAATGAAGATATTTTTAAAAATACAACCTCCAAAGCCTGAATCAGGAAGAAAGAGAAATCCTGAACAGAAGATAATGGATAGCGAGATTAGGACAGTAATAAAAAAAAACTCTTTTTTTTTTTTTTTTGAGACAGAGCCTCAAGCTATCCCCTTGGGTAGAGTGCCATGGCATCACGCTCACAGCAACCTCCAACTCCTGGGCTCAA